CCCCCCCCCCCCCCCGTGGGAAAATGCTGTCACCATGTTCTGGCCAACACTTGAAAATGCGAAACAACGATGTACGTGGCAGCGTAAAAATCTGTAGGTCCCAACATTTGGCGGTCACAGCAGTGTATCATAGCTCTCGCTGCCATGGCTCTGCCTTTTACACACCACGCATGATAATGAGATTGACAAAGCAGGTTGCAGAATTTCAGTATCACGGCGACACCAAATCACACCTGCGTGCCCGCAGGTGGAACGTCGAAATTGGGGTCGAAGGTCAAATTCTTTGTTCGAAGGCACCGTCTCGAGAACAGGTTACTGTATGTACCATCTTCACCTGAGATAACCGTGTTTATCACCAAATTTTCCATCATTCCGTGAACATGTGGGCCTTGGTTTCATACTTTATGCTTCCGGCGGGCCCACACTATGTGTAGTCTAGCAACATGTCACTATATAGTCTACAGCCCTCACGAGGAACCTGCTCAATGTTGGGCCACCCAAATTAAAAACTTCGTCCAACACCTCCTTCGCCATGGGTCGATTCGGCGACCGCAACATGTTTTGCTGCGGGCCCGCACTGCAGTCTAGCAACATTGGCATACGAAACAAAATCTTGACGAGGAATCTCCTCCCTGTTAGGCCACGCCAACGATAACGTATGCTTATCAACGATAAACTACGCGTCACGATAAAGTGCGTTCAACAACCATGCACTGCGCTTAACAACTCCTCGCTCGATCCGGCGACCGCAACTAACAACAGCTGCAGCGACAGGATCGAGGCCTGCGGGGACGGGGCGCTGATCGGCTACACGGAAGACCACGTGCCCGTGGCGAGCGAGTCTCTGGACGAGCCGTACGATGCCCTCCTGATCTCAGGAGACGATCAAGACATCATCGGCTCCAACTTTACGGTCGACTGCACCCTATACCTGGGTGAGGGAGCGATGTTGTTTTATATTTTTCTTCGCGCGTCAGCTATGTCGCGCTCCCTGTCTCTCTTGCGACCCTCTTCCGAAACCAGCTCATCCTGCCGCTGCACATGCGGGACTGAGAGCGACCAGCTCTTCCTGTGTGTGACGGCGAGAGCGAGTTTCGTTGGAAATGTGTGGAGTGGTCGCAACTCGTACCTTTGCGTGATCGCTTCCACCAGGGGCCGATTCGTTGCCTTTCGGCAGAGAAGGACACGAATAGAAATTGGGCAGCGATATTCAGCCGTCCTGATGTATGCCCTATTCTTCTATCGACAGAAAAACGCCACCGTGTAGATAGGGGGATAAGGGTTGTGCCGTTTCTCGTTCAAAAAAGAAATCTACATGCGCATTGTATTCTGTACGATTTCCCTGGTTGAGTGTGCCTGCACAAGGACAGAAAACGTACTACTTCTAAGTATGGGGGCGTTCCCGACATAGATTGGAGTTACAATCATGCTGGGCTTTTCAACGAGAGAACGTTTGCCGAGTGTACTTTCTTCAACACTTCCCTTTGGGGTTTTGGTTTATCGAATCGAACTAGGCGCTGGGTCGGTTCAGGCGGCAAGCGGTGTTGCAAGCGTCGTGACTGCTCCCAAACTCCTGCCGCCCCTAAATTCTCTAGTAGACTATACTCCCACCCCATCTCGCCTTTTTGTCAAATCGAAATATTGTAGGCGCTGGATCGGTTCAGGTGGCCAGCGGTGTCACCAGCGACGACACGGCTGCGCCTCCAACTCCTGCCCCCATCGCCAGCGGCGGCGGCGGCGGCGGCGGCGGCAGCGGCGGCGGCGGTGGGTCCGTCGGCGACGCACCCACGCCGCCTCCCCAGGACGCCGCCGGAGAGAACCCCACCCCACCAGGCAGCGGTGGTTACGGATCGGTGGCTGGGTCTACACCATCTCCCGAAGCCGCTGCCATCACCCCTTCGCCCAGCGACGACGACAATGGGTCCGTAGACGGGGCAACAATTACGCCATCTCCCGAGGCCGCTGCCGTGGCCGCACCTGAGGTCACCGCCCCGCCAAGTATGTTTTCGCGCCTGTACTCCGTAGGCGTATTTTCTTTTCGCGTTTTTCACACACTAACTTTTCCTCCACTCTATTTTCAGTATGTTGGCAAGAATCGGCAGCGAAAATATCTGGCGGAAATCGCCTACGGAGTACAGGCCTAGTGTTTGCCTGGCGTAGATCTGCCCTCGCTGTGTGGCTGCTGCCCTCTTCCATTGCTAGTTGGGGAGTCTCGTAGTAGTGCGACCGACAACCATCTTCGTGCCGGGTTTTGTTCGCCCCCCCCCCCCACTGGCTGTGCAATTTATGTGCCACATCGCAAGCACGTAGGCCACGCTGCTGCTGTTGAGAGCTTGCGCCCGAAAGCGTTTCGTCCGCCTTGTTTTCGAGAACGTTGTTCGTGTGTCGTGGTCGCGCTGCTCTCTGATTGATCCAGCGTTTTGTTTTTTTTCCTTTGCTGTTTTGTTTTTTCACAACGGAGCCTCGTCGACATTGGCTGTTGGGCCACCGTAGAGTGGAACCCCATCTCGACCTCGATCCCCCGCGACACTCTCCTTCCCTTTGACAAATTTCCCGTTGCTCTTCAAAATTTCCCCATCAACGATATATCCCACCAACCAATGCGGCAGGCATGACACCGTACACAATGTTACGTTGCACAAATACTTGGGAGATAGGAGACAGTAATTGATGGTTTGTGGCACGTATGACAAGTGACAACAGTATTTGTGTCGGTTTTCCGGTGTCCTCCATCCGACGGAGCGCGGGCGTATCGGCGGCAAAGGGACAGACAGTTGCTTTGGCCGCCTCTCTCCACTGGGCGGCCAGCGCCGTATATTCTTCCCGGTTGTCCCGTAGTTGCTTGAGACCGACCCCCCGTTGGCCATCTACCTTTTCTACTACAGGGCGGCAACGCTACCAGGCTTCATTCGTTTGACACCTCAGATCCCGAGCACATTGATTATGTCATATTAAGTTCTGTTGCCAAGGAGAGCTAAACGCCACACACACCCCCTTTCATATATTCCAGGTTCACCCGAGGACGTAGACCTAGCCGACGCTGATGCTAGCGGGGTCCACGGCGGCGTTTTCAGCCCCAACTCCGTCACCATCGCCATGGGCGTGCTTGTCGCCGCGGGGATGTTCTTTGCTGCCTGAGAATGGTGGGCTGCTGTCACCGAGAAGAGTGTGTGGTAATTAACGAAACCAAACTTACTTTTAGTTTTTTTAGTTTTTTTTGTTGCAATGGCCGCGACGACAAAACAGGCTTTGAGGTGGGGGCGGTTTTGGTCTGTTCGTGTGTGGTATAAGCAGGGCAACCCGCTGCAGACGTTTGAATAAGTAAAGTGGGGGGGCCTCAGTAGTACCGATGAGGACCAGATCGGTATACTATTCCGGCGCTATTCAAAGTGCTGAATGACTTGGTGATTCAGTCTATGCCTTTCCAAAACACCGGCACTGTACCTGCCGTCGGCAGCATTCAACCGGCACTACTAAGGGCCCTTGTCTGTGTAGTATATTCTGCTATTTGCTTGGAGAGAAGGGCGCTGACAACGATCGTTGGTGCCAATCGCAGTTGATGTTGCCCTCCGCGCTCTGAAAAATGCCTATCGTCGGCGGATAGGGAAATAAAGGTCTTTGTGTTGCGGTGTCTCAGTGGCATTTTGTGGTATGCATGGCAGCTCGGCGGCGGGCAGAGTCGACCTACTTATCTTAGCTCAGCATTGCACACGTTTCCCGCTCGTTTCCAGATAAACACAGGTTGAGGTCTGCTTGAATTTTTGGAATAGGATTGGTTTCCCACGACGCCTGCTGTCTGTCTTGTGGCGCCCATGTCCACACCGCCTACTGTAGTGGAGCTTTGGTTCGACGTGCTGGCTAACTTGATGGAACCCCTAGCAATCGTGTAGCCTTGTCCGTAATTTTTAGGGCCGCTAGCCTCCTCCTGCCTGTGTTGGTACCTACCTGAGGTTGAAGGGTGCTGCGGTCGATTTGGTTGAAATCTAGGAGTACCTGGGGGTGGTGTGTCTGGGATGCAATTTTGGCTCCGCTCAGAGTGTGTCTTATCGGCAGAATCGAGTTTCAGTTTAAGGCTAGAAAGAGCCAGCGTCATCTGCTCTGATTGTTTGGAATGCGTTCTTTCGGGATAAGCGAGCGGATCTTCCTGGTCTTAAACTTGATGTCGAAAAAATGGCCAGAGGATTAATTTGGAATCGACTTTGGCCAAACGTAACCAACTTCGGGTGGACGTTGGGCCGTTGGGAGCGTGCTGCGGCGGTTAACGTTTTTCATCTCGCACGCTGCGCGCCCACGTGCGCGCGGATTGCACACGCTTCACCACGCACGCCCACCAAGCAAGCAGAAAGACGATGCCACAGAAGGCGAACGGCGATGGCAGGTTCAATTTGTTGCCGATTTGCCAAGGGCGTGCGCTGAGCAATGGAGTCGGGATTCATGCGCCATCCGTGCCATCGGTGGGTTGTGCTATATCACCAGCTCTCCAGGAGCTGCCTCATACGCTTGTTCGTTTTCCCTCGCTGCCACGAGCGGCTGCCCCCACGGCGGGGTGGAGAGCGAGCTATGGTTGTGCGAGTGCTGTGCAAAAAATGGACAAAACGTCGCCCGCAGGTCGCCCACGCCACTTGTCGGGACTGTTGGGCTGTTCGGCGTCCGTTCGGGCGTGTTCTCGATTTGAACCTCTTAGTTGGGCTGAAATCTGTAATTTTTTTCTTTGTTGTGGGTTCTGGCGAGACTGTCAGGAGCGATCCTCAGAACGACGGGTTAACTCGATATTTGTTTCGTTATTTCGGAATTTTTTTGAGTCCGAAACTGTTATCAGTGAACATTTATTTTCTTTTGGTCTACCAAATCGGATCACCCCTCTGGTTAGAATTTAAAACCAAAAATAAAATCTGTGTGTGCTGCATCCCAAGTGAAAACGGAGGGTGATGTATGGGAGATCTGTACGCATGGAACTCCTTGGGGGCGAAGAAGGGCTCGAGCGTTGGGCCAGCATGATACGAAATAGTGCCGGAGCGATTGCGAGGAAGATAATGAAGCGCGACGCTCTCGTGACTGGGGAAACACCTTAGCTCTCGGTGTTTCTGTCCTTTGTTGGGTTTTCGGAGGTCACTCGGGTGATTCGGGAGGTGGTGCGTGAGTGCGGGTTGGCCTTTTATAGGCGTACGGGTTGTGGGTATAGTGGTGCGGATTTGGACGTCTCGCACGATCTCCCTCTGTCGGCTGCTAAAATGTATTTCGAGTGTTTTTGCCCTGGTGTGTATTACGTTCGTTTGAATGATATTGGGAAGCTGGTGATGTTCTAGATATACATAGACTATTATACCACATCTTAACCAAATTCAGAGAACACACGATTTTTTTCGCGGTGGTGTGCAAAGTCGACATGTGAGATGATCGTTAACTGATGAACGTTGGTGTGATGTTGCTGTGGGCATGCGTGTCCATGGATATCGTTGTTGTTTTTGGTGAGGTCATGTGGAGTTCCTTGCGTGCTGTTTGTTGTCGATGACGATCTATGTCTTTCATACGGGAGAAACGGGCTTGGTATCTTGCTCCTCGTACGGGGCAATGGCCCTCATAGCTCGACCAGGCGGATTTCGGTTTATTTCAGGATTAGACAGTTAGGTCGGCCCGAACGTAAGGATAGGCGTATCAGAAATGGACTACAATAGCGAGATCGAAGAGCACTTTTTTTGATGGAAAGCGTGCTATGAAGACCAGTCCTGTAAGAGAATTTCGAGATTTCCGTTTTTTTTGCGCTTGCATGTGTGCGGATGAATGTTCTGCGGACGAAAAATGAACATGGAATGATTGAAAACGTAAGGTATTCATAGCCATACACCAGCACTCGTTATTGCTTCCCAAACAAGTTTCATGTCTGCATATGCACGAAGAACGGAAAAAATGCGTGGCCTACTAGTGAGTCCAGAACGTGGGGCGTCGTGGTGCACAATGCCCGTCACCTAGGAGTGATGGCCATTGTAGGCAAATACAAACATTTTTAATTCGTGACCTCGTAGTTATGTTTCAGCGATATACTGTGTAACCGCTGTCGTCGCTGATCAACGCTCTGCTCTAGCGCTTGTTCCCATGGTACGAATGTCTCTGTCACATCCCACTTCATTTGCAGCATTTTATCACGACCATCAAAAAACTAAACGTCGTCTTACCAAACGACGGTATTCGACGAACCACACCTATTGATACCAGATTTGCTGCAAGCGCAGAGCCATCATTGGTAAGGGTAGTTCCGAGCTATTCCCCAAGCCATCAGTGACTACTGTACGGCAACCACGCCGCCGCTGACGATATCAATCTAGAGGTGAAATCGCCGCGGTTCGTTAGGCCATGAGCCCTCCTGAGGTCGGCCCTACCTACCAAAATCAATCGTCCTATCCCCCGACGGTGCCGGCGTAAGGGCGGGAGGGGGAAGGCTAGCTAGGCTCCGCGAATCCTGTGAAACCGGTTCACTTTCGAGTTTAAATCATCGACAGATGAATGAACACGTGTTCGGAGCTCACACGAACAAACTGAAGAAGTGGAGGTCCTGAGGCAAAAATTCTCCCTTTCCGAGTGGAACCTGTTTCCACCAAAGCTCAGTCGTGTCCGACGCTCGTCCACCCGGTAATAATGCTATTTTCGACACCCGCTGTCGTACTATAAATGGCTCACCGTTTTCTATCTCGTGACCTAATCTCTCTATTGTACACCCAATCCGTCTGAATGAGGTAATGAGGAGAAAATACTTTTGTAGGAAAGGACCTGTTGTAAGACTTGTGGACACATTGTTGTGCACTCGTATGGAGTATTCACGTTGTTCGTGCTCTGGATGTTGGATAAACCGGGTAGGCCGAAGCTTGTAGGTTTGTGGAGAAAGGCAG